GCTTTGGATATGAGTATCCTGGACCGCATCGGGAACTAGTGGGGTATGACCATCTCCCATACTACAGGTGGCCCTGAGCTAGATTTTAGCGGAGAGTGATCCGTTCCCGCGTTTTAATTTTAATCCTAACACTACACTCCAGTAGATTTTACCGCAAACCCACTTCTTACGCACATTGAGGTGAAAGTTCGCATTCCGGGGTGTACGTATGTACCAACCTCACATTCCTACGGCTTCGAAGGAATGAAGTGCGAGCGGTATTTTTCTAAATGTGTTTCTAATTGTCAATCGTTCAAGCGGTGCACCGGTATCTAGACCCCGTCAGAAGCTTTCTTTCGAAATCATCAGTGCGCTAGGTTCCACTACGGAGTCCACGCGCGCGCCTTAGTTGGAAGTTAGAACGCTAAGGTGTACGCGTCAATGGCTATAGCTTGCAACTCTGAACGGTCTACGTTAAACTAGCAAAGGCCAGTGCCAACCAACTTTTGGCTTAAAAAGCTACAGCTCTTCCTTATCGGTCGTTTCGGACTTGCCACCCACCGACGGATTAACTCTTTCAAAGCATGAAGATTTCCACTCGGGCTGTAAATATTAACATTTTTCCTGGACCGTAGTTATCTGTGTGCGTAACACGCTAAAACTCGGCGCGCGGTGAACGCACTGTTAATATTCGCCGACCTAAAATTATAACATCAATTTTTGATATTAACCTGCCGATTTGCTCTTATGGAGAACACCCAATCCTGCAGGCCGAAACGCCCTTATTCGGGGCTATGTTTTGTCTGGTGCCCACGATTCGCATAAAAAAAGAAAAATTAGTGGTCTCAGTAGTCGCGCCGCAAACCAGACCAGCGCTGTAGTAAACAAATGTGTCTTATACTAGAAAAAGCATATGGCAGACACACTGACACTCAGACACACAGTAAATCCGACAAGTCTATGCAGTTTCCTTCGTTTATGTTACAATTAACATTTGCTAACCGTCATCTAACCGTCGCAGTACTGGTGATAACTTTTTGACCACCGTGCAAACACGAACTGCGTGTGGAGCTATGGTGACTGAGTGCTACTTATCCTTCCTTTCGTCCCAAAAATTATTGATTTTCCGGCCGTGGTGGTGGTGGCTTGGACGTTTTTATCTTCCCGCGTCCGTTCCACCTATTTCAGACAGTAGCACAGGACGTGGTAAGCCGGCACGACATCGATATATCGTTTGTTCGATGGGCATCCCAGAGCCATATTAGCTAATCCTTCTACCTTACATAGGCCGACGCTTTTAAACTAAGACAGCTAACCCATTAGCTTTACCCAATTCGAAGAGCTGGTTGATGTATCCGTCCTGCTGGTAGAATAGGAGACAGCAACGGGGTTTTCGAGTGGCACTTTGAATACCCGCGGGACACTGAAGATGGCAAATCCGGCGTGTCAATTTCTTTTAGTCATTTGAACCTGTGGATATGTATAGTCTGCGACAGTCAATGAATATGTGTCAGCTATCTCTTATTAATTTAATAGCGGTGAAAGCATCAGAACAGAAAAATTTTGCGTCCCGAGGGGACTTCTAGAGACCTTCAAAAGGCGGTGGACTGATGGTTACGAAGGCAGGAACGAACCAGGACTTTCATAATCTCAGGGAGGTGACTGACAGTTTTCTCTTAGAATAAGAACACTGCCGCGGAAAAGTTTGCACTAATTGACAGGGCGGGTTTACTGTGAAATGCCACTGAATTTACAGACTGGTGTTCCAGGGCAAGTCTGCCCCTTTCTCCTACGGCTAAAGAAAGGAAACAGCAGCTTTCTCAGGTATTCGCTGGCCTTACCAGTCTATCTGCTGCACCAACTATAGTTGTGGCAACAAACGTAAATCCTCTCTGATGGCTGATTAGTTTCCTTGAACCTTGTAGGCGTCAAATCATGTCGTGCCATCTGTAACAGCAGAAGGTTATGCGAAATCCTGGAACGAGACGTGTTGGCTCCGATTAGTAATCTTTTTGTTCCCTCTGCCTCATTGGCCGGTTGTACACTGTATCGGACCCGAACGTGTTTAGGGAGTTGGGAACAAATAGGCCCCCTTATAGTGCTGTTAACATCCTGAGAACAAGCATTTTCGAGTTTATAATTTGCCTCAAACAGCCGATTGTGTTGAGGTTAGTGCGTCTAAGTGATGCACATCTATTACGTTCCTTCTAATTTGACCATGCACATAATTTTGCCCATTTACAGGACGATGTCTGCTCGCCTGGAGGTAGCACCATTGCCGGTACTCACGTCCTCGAAAGTGCCGCTGTTCGCGCCAGCTTCAGCGCGTGCATAGAAGCCGCCAAGAAGCGCAATGACGAACTCGGTCAAGTTTCAAAGTAAACACATGACAACGACTGTTTCCTCCGCGCGCCATTGACCCACAATCTAGCCCTCCACCCGCTCCTCCCCCTGCCCCTCTTTCTCCTCGCCTCTTACTACGGACTCGGCTTGTTCGTTGTGATAGTTGTCTTCTCGTTTTAGGTTGTATCTTATATAAATTTAGCAAAAATCGTTGGTTCAAAACATTGTCTCGGCTTCTGTTGCTTTGTTGTACTGATGGGCATTGGTTCTCGGAAAACCTTCGAATGGTTTGTCGAGACAGATTTTATTCTACTGACCGGTGCCGCTACTGTCCGGACAGTCACTCCTGGGGGATCTTTGTCGGAGTATTTAGGTCGCAAATCTATAGGTAACTACACAAATTCCTATTTGTTCGCTTGATGATAAGGTCACCCTCGTAAATTGAAGGACTGATGCGAGACCTTGACTTTTTCACGCACGAAGATATGAGAAACGGAGAGCGTTTGAGGTTTGTCGGAAAGATGTGGTATTACTGATACTGCTCGATATTATCCTTTCAGCTTTCAATGCGGTACAGCAGGTTTCATAAATACTCCATGCGATAGGTATGCACAGTCAGTAAACAATCTCATGAACCGTTAACCAAAATTCGGAAAGGCGTGTTCGATGAGGACTAGTTACTTGACGGGGGTTGTAATATTTTTGGGCAACATAATCTCAAGACTTTTCGGTCGCCTGCGAAAAGTGACTTTTTCATGTCCTTATAAATGTCCATTTAGTTTATAAAAAGACATGCACAAAATTCCATCTCTTGTATCCATTTGCTTGAATATTTCATACTCGAAGCCGGTTATATTTAGGGTTTTCAGCTCCTGAATAACTTGGACCCAGTCTCCTTACAATCAGCAAGCTGGATACTTTACGTGTAAGAAAAATTAAGTATTTCTCTAGGCCATTGAAAAGATACCATATGAGGCTCGTGAAAGTATCCAATAAATATGTTCTGTCTTTAGGAGTACTAACAAGCGCGCACATATGATGCTGTTTGCGGGGACATTTCAATCTTAACCATCTGATGGTTAAAAACTTTATAACACAAAGATAGTTTTCTAAGATAAAAATTAAAACGTATGAGAATTGCTTGCAAGGAAGAATGTTCCGATGACGTTTAAGCAAATTTATCGGGTCATAAAATATCACCGAAAAATCATACTGTCGAGTATTCTTTTTACAAATTGCCGACAAGTAGTGCATTTTGAATAAGCAATAAGCACACTTAAGTAATCCTTCTTACTAGAAAACAACTTTCGGAATCCGTACTAACATTTTTCGAGATTGGTCTCTGTGTGTATATTATTTACTTCATATGGCAACATAATCATGTTTAGCTCTCCAGATATTGTCTCTCGCGACTTTTATTCAGTTGTTTATAGTTACTGCCTATTCATAAGACTAGGCTAACTGTCCAATTAGATATCGACCTAAAGGGATGAGATGTGAGAACTCAGTAAATTCTTCGTGTTTCCTCGCTTATGCCGTTTAAATTTATTCCGAAAGTATATGATTTAAGTATTGGCGAATGTATTTTGCCAATACTTATTTTATTTATGTTCAGCCCTCGACTCATCCCATGTAGGTTCCACCACTTGAAAACGTTTAATTGCATAGAGCAGGCGATGTCTTGTCTGCCAACTAACGTCAGTGTCACTCCATCTCACAATGAGTTACCATACTGAAAAGAAGATGACTCGATCGCTGGAACAGGCATAAATTAACATACTGTTTACAGTGAATCCTGCCCTATCTTTGCTAGTTAAATGGCAGCGAGAACGTCTGTTCGTCCGTAAAACCTTTCAAGTCTATGCCTGTTCTTTTAGTCTTAGTTCAAATTTGTAAACTGAGGCGCGACGAGGTCGTTTATTAAAGGCCCTAGATCTACCAATATGTACACCCGATGGTGGCCGACAGGTCGTTGGTTTCCAAATCTTGTGGTCGATAAGTAACTGGCTCCGGTTCGAATCCTGAGTGTTCTTGCGGATTTTGGACATGTCGGACTGATGGTTGTAAGTAAGCCGTTTCCGATTGTAATTTGTCGTCATGTAATCATCTTCCAGGACTCCGGGCTCAAGCCCATCCGTTCTGCAATCGCGGAGCTCTGTGTCCTCATCTGGCATGACTGAGCATTCTCGAGGTTAACTGGCAGGA